GTTATGAGACTGATTAGAATATTGAGGGAACACACTTCTGTGTCCAAGTATTTCATGGTATTCATCTGTTTACTTTGTTGTATATTTTTTCAGAAAAGCAGAAAGACTTTACCAGTTTGCACAGCAGACAGCATACTGAAGCTGTTTAAATGGTACAAATATTTTCAATATATTATTGATTCTTAGATATCATGGCAGCCATGTTGATTGAACTTCTACAAAAGCTTTCCCATTAGTGTATACTGTTAAAGGCCCAGTTTGCACCATTATGCTTTGCGTGGCTGTTATTTTTCTAGTATCCAAATATCACCATAAAACGAATTTAAAGTGCTTAGAAAAGTTAGATGGTCAAAGATGGTAATATGAAAATGGCCACCTCCCGGCCCTCGCGGCCCCCAAAGCATAATGGTGCACACTGGGCCTTTAATCGCACCATGAACATAACTGTTGGTCTTAATTAATTAGTGAATGATTGATAGAAATGGAATTCAATAAATTATTTTTATGTGGGCAACTGTTCATTGCTGGACATTTGCATAAGTAAACATCACTTATTTGCTTTGTTTTTGTTTTCAGTTATTTGTGTTTGGCTAATGCTTCCAATGATGCCAGCCATTCTTCTTTCTCATCAACAACAATTATTGACAACATTGCAGGGCTTTGTCTGTCATGCTTATTTTTTTCAATAAAAGAGAATAGTTCCTTTGAGACTGAAGAGCTTAAGTGTCTTTACAATGATGTGACAGAGGTTTTAGAAGCTTGCCCTCTTGTGACAAACAATCTTCTGGATATCTTATCAAGTCATCTTGAAGGTAGGCTGTGTCGTCTTGCTCATATTAATAATGGCTATTACAAGGAGTGTATGATCGCCCTGGTTTTAACAAGTTAGTCTCTAAGTGCTTTTTGGTCATTAGCAAAGTAAAACTGTATTTTGAAAAAAAAGAAACTGCTCAAAAATACATATGTTGTCAAATATTGTATTTTTATTTGTTGGTTCCTAAATAATTTGTATTATACTGATACAGATCAAGATGACAAGG